TGTCTCTCTCTCTCTCTCTCTCTCTCTCTCTCTCTTTCTCTCTCTCTCTCTCTCTGGTTTTAAATCTTTAAAAAAATTGGAATTCGTCGCTATGATGATAATGCTTTCAATAATAGCAATAATAACAAAACTTATAACAATAACATCAATTAACAACAATAATAACAGCTGTAATAGCTATGACAATAATCACAAACAAAAATCATAATAGTAATAATAATAATAATAATATTAATAATAATAATAATGATAATAATGATAATAATGATAATGATAATGATAATGATAGTGATAATAATAATAATAATAATGATAATAATAATAGTAATAAAATAATAATAAGTAATAATAATAATAATAATGCGAAGAAACGGTATTGCGTTCCATGAAAAAGTAACTCTGGTCACCTTTCTCAATGACGACCTGTTCAAGATGGCTGCTTCCATTCCAATGATAAACACAATCATGAAAAGAATTTTGATTTTAGGCTCTAAACACAATACTGGGCAGTGTAGAACAACTAATTTGGTATGTGTGTGTCTCTTAAGAAGCAGCATTCTGTTTGGAATCTAATAGCGCCGTAATAAGATTTAAATGCTGTGTGTTGTTGGAGGGAGGGGTGGCACTCACTCGTCACTCAGTCACTGTGGACTGCAGTCTCCGTCTCCAGTCTACTCCAGGCTCCAGGAGTCCAAAGCATGAGCTGCGACTATTATAGCATTTGAAAAAATCCAAAACTATTATAACATTTAAAAAAAAACTTGATAACAATGATAACATAAGAGGGAAATGGAAGGCTCTTTGGAAAGGCTGTACTGTAGTTATTCGCACAGGCACAGGGCACAGGGTGTGTGAATGGGGGCACAGGTGACAGGGTGTGTGAATGGGGGCACAGGGTGTGTGAATGGGGGCACTAATTGGATGGTGGTCCCGACTTTTGTGACAGGGAAATATAACTTAACCTAGAGAAAATCTAGATTAGAACGATTACTTCTGGTTCTAAGTCTAAACGATTACTTTTTGATTCGCGTGACGAAGAGATAGCCTTTCAAACCGAATTGCAAAAAAACATCAAGTCATGGTCAAATTCAGAGGGGCATGCCCCCCCTGAACCACCCCATGTTTTTTTTTTTTTAAGTCAGGGGGGCTTTCTGACTTTGTGAAAAACAAGTGAAATTTTACTGCTCATTTTGTAGGCTAGATTTAGAATCTAGGCTACTGATAAAACATAAAACATTGATACCGACTATTTGAATCAGTATCGATATTTCAGTTGCCTACACTACACAAAAGTCGGGAGCACCATATCCAAGTAGTGCCTGAATGGGATTGTATTCGCACAGGGTGTGCGAATACTATGAAATTTTATTAGCACAGGATGTGTGAATACTATGAAATTATATTCACACAGGGTGTGTGAATACTATAAAATTATATTCGCACAGGTGTGTGAATACTACAAGGGAGTGTATACAGACCCGGTAACCGGGGACAAAGTCACAAAGTATACAGACCCGGTTAGGGAACTCTTTTGTGATTTTGGAAAGTTTCAGCGCCCTCTTGGCTCAGGGTAGATCTAAGTTCTTCTAGATCTAGATCTATGGCCTAGGTCTAGATCTAGACAGACAGACATAAAAATCATTGATTTAGTTTCAAGGCTAGCCTAGAACAGATCTAAATGAAGATTGCAGATGTCTTTTCGATGAACGATCGTTTTTCCACCGTTTTGGAGTTGGAGGAATCACAATTTGAAGAAAAAAACAATGTCATAATTTTAATCGAGCAGTCACCCTCTCTATTTCTCTGCTTCTCTCTCCTCTGTGTATCGCTCACCTTCTCTTTTTCTTTCTTTGTCTCTTTCTTTCTCCCCACATATTTCCCTCTCTATCTTTCTCTCGTTCCCTCCTGCCAACTGGAGCATGTCATATTCATTTTGCTAGCATCTCTCTCTCTCTCTCTCTCTCTCTCTCTCACACACACACACACACACACACACACACACACACACACACACACTAGGCGCCTAAGCCTACCGGGTCTGGGCGCTGAAGCTTTCCGAAATCACAAAAGAGTTCCCTTACCGGGTCTGTATACTTCGTGACTTTGTTCCCGGTTAGATCTACTGGGTCTGTACTTCGATACTACAAAATATTATTGGCACAGGGCGTTTCAAAAGAAGGATGGTAATTATCTAGATCTAGCATTTCCTCATTTTTCCTTTTTTCATCCTCTTTCACGTAGGGACAAAGATCATGGATCACAAGATAGTTGGCTCTTCTTTTTGAGCCAAATAAAAAAGTGTTCTCAGAATTTGGTGGCGCCCTCTTCGAAAAAGTGCGGACTTTGCAAACAGACCCTACTGGGACTAGTGTGAAAAACAATAAAAGTGAAATTAACAGACTGTGCTTATCCTATTCTTCTTCTAGAGAAAGGAAAGAGCTTCAAAACAAAGACTTCAGCGCCCTCTGAAGCAATGCGCTGACTTCTGTGAACACTTTTCGGACTGAGTGAACAATCTTGTTATCTATCTTTGGTAGGGATGGATCAAGATAGAATCTAGATCTAGATCTAATTCTAATTTTGTGCAATGTGATACCAAAAAACCCAACTCAAATTGGAATTCAAGTTGTGTATTGTGTCAATGATAATGACTCAAATCTCTCTTTTAACAGTTTTTTTTCTTCTGTTTTGCTTGTGCTATAGGAGAGAGAGAGAGAGAGAGAGAGAGAGAGAGAGAGAGAGAGAGAGAGAGAGAGAGAGAGAGAGAGAGAGAGAGGGAGAGGGAGAGGGAGGGAGGGAGGGAGGGAGGGAGGGAGGGAGGGAGGGAGGGAGGGAGGGAGGGAGGGAGGGAGGGGGGGGGAGAGATGAGTGCATGCTTACTTTAACTTTAAATCTGAAACAAGTTATACTAGCTAGATCTAGATAATCTAGATCTAGTGTCCAGTAGTTTTAACATTTAAAGCCTTTGCCAAAAGGTGGGATACCCGGGTGTGACAAACGAGGTCCAAAATCAACGTAGGCTCGACCCTGTGCGAATAAAATTATTTCTTATTCGCACACCCGGTGTGAATAAAATTATTTCTTATTCGCACACCCGGTGTGAATAATATTAATTCTTTTGCGCACACCCGGTGTGAATAAAATGAAATCTTATGCGCACACCTGGTGTGAGTAATCACTTCCCTTTGGAAATTGCCTTCCCTCCCGTTTGTTTACATAGCCTGGCTAAGCTAAGATAAGAAACAGAAGTGATTGCTAAGGACAAAAGTGGCCATGTAGGGTAAGTGAACCCTACCACATTAGCCAGTAATGTTTTTCTGCCTTTTTTGTATTAAAAATTTATTTTGGCCGGATTTAACTTGGTGGACCCAGAGTGTTTACATATTGATCTATATGTGTATTAATGTGCACTATCTATAACAGTAGGGGGGGCAAAAATAATTATTTTTTAAAAAGCTCAATCTTCACGTTTACCTGGCAAATGATATGTTTCAAAATGGCTGCCAATGGAACGGGAAGGTAATTTCCAAAGAGCGCCAGGATACACTGAATTAGAATGTGGATGCTCGTCAAACAAAATATAAAGACATCGAGTGCAGGTTTTACTGTCTTCTCTTTATCTTCTGGTTAAGAAAATGCTGAGAAACACAGGAGACGAAGATCTTTAGAATGAAAGAAATGAAAAAGGTTTTCAAAAACGAAGTGAGACTGCCAGTCTAGCCGTATTTAGATCTAGGTTTGGCCCTATCGACTCAAACATGTTGAGTACACAGGTCTCATTAGATCTAGATCTAGTACAGTGGAGTCCACTTATAACGAGTCCTGAAACAATGAGAAGTCTGTTATAAAGACACTATTCTAAAACCCCGTTTTTTCTCCTTCTTTATCTTTGTAAATAAAATACTGCTATTGCTCAATCAGACCGTCACGTGAGTCGGTTTTAACGGAATATTGCTGCTGCTGTGCACAGCGCACAGATCAATTAAACATTATATTATAAAACCTTGCCAGTTGAGAAAGTTGTTGGTGATCCAGCGAAACAAAGAATGGGAGAGCCCACATGAACCAACAATGAAGGCCGGAGCGAATGATGAGTGGAGAGGGTGTGGCATGCGCAGACAAGCAGAACGCATCGCGTGATAGGCCAGGCCAGTCTAGATTATCTAGGCATACCGTGCCTCTCACTTTTCTGGTACGGGATGGAGAGGTCACAATGCTGTGATAGATGGAGTGAATGTGTGACGTGCGCAAGCAGACGCAATGCACCACAGGGTGTGGTGGGGTGGGGGACAACACAGCGGGCGAGTTAGCCTAGAGCCAGAGCCCCTTCTTTCTGATCGCCAACGCTGAGCTGTCAACATTGCTAGTGCAAGAGAAAGAAACCTAATTCGATTTTTGATCAAGTAAGACCTAGAGATCATGTTGAACAAATCATCACCAGGGGAAATACAAAAAGGAATAAACAGAACGCCAAACTCATAGATTAGGCCTACATTACTATTTCCCTTGAATTTGTTATTGGATCCCTTGTAACGAGAATCCTGCTATAACGCACATTTCGCACCGGTCCCTTCCCTCTCGTTATAACAGGTTTCCACTGTAATTATTCAGGTTTAAAATACATGCAAGTCAGTGAGGCACCTTTTGTTTTTGTCTGAAATACAAATACTTTAGACATTGCAAACTAAACATTTCATTTACAATTCAGCCATCAATAATGAGTATGGCTAGCCTGATTGTCTAGCCGTCCTTAAGTATGGCTAGCCTAGCCGTCTAGCCGTATTTATCTCAGGCCATACATTAGGCCTAGAAAACAGGTCTCATTAGTAATTATTCAGGTTTAAAATACATGCACTGTAGGGTTGGGTCGGGCTCGCAAAATTAGTGTCCGCGAGTAACGAACTACTCGTTGGCACTACCCGCAAACGAGCGGACGGGTAACAAACCGTCCGCTTGTGAAGAGTAGTTTGCTACTCGCTACTCGCTACACATCGGACAGAGACAACAGTTTGTTCAGCGGACGGGCGGACCGAGAGACTCCATGCATTCGAGCGGGCGGATGGACGGACAGGAGCGACTCCTTCCATTGCATACAACTTACAAACCCCCCCCCCCAAAAAAATAAAAGATTAATTACAAAATCACCCTCCTGCCTCACATTTTAACTAGGCGTTCGTGGCGGAAATTTCTGCCCCCCTCCCCGGCCTTTGCGATAATTGGAATGTGAACAGTGTGCCCCACGCACAAGGTGAAAGGTTACATACATAGTACTACGTCACCAGCCTCTCTCACTCCCTGTGGTACCGCTAGTGGTTTGAAACATTAGGCCTAATTAACAAACATTAGACCGTGGGCCTAACCTTGCGTCGAGTATCTCGTCTGCTAGAGTTCGTCCGTTTGCCCACCTGCCCAGTGAATAAAATTGTGGAGCGGCCCAAAAAACGAACTGACTTGAGGCTTGAGGTCCGCAGTCCGCTCGCTGAGAGAGTCAAATTGTGGAACGGACCCAAAAAACCGAACTGTCTTGAGGTTCGCAGTTCGCTTTCATGGCCGTCCGTTACCCGCTCGCTCTGACTGAGTCCGCGAGTAACGAACCCGTCCGTCCGCTCGCCCCATCTCTAATGCACTGTCATTTAAAAGTCACCTGGTTTCGTCTCAAATACAAATACTTTAGGTTAGGTACTGCGAACTAAAAATTTATTTACAATTCAGTAGGCTTTTTTTGTTGTTGTCAGTCCAGATCTAACCATCATATTAAAAATAAGTACGGCTAGCCCAGCTGTCTAGCCGTACTTAAGCCTAACAGTCTAGCCGTCATTAAGTACGGCTAGCCTCTTCCTTTCAAAAATTTTCACTCGAACTTTAATGGCCACCTGGTGAGAATAGCTCATGACCCGCTGGTCTCACCCCCCCACCTAGTGGACATTGACAGTGATGAAGATCTATATTTTATTAATGTATTAGTTCGGACTGCTTCAAGCATTCCATTCTAATGAGATGAAGGAGCGCTCTTACCGAATTATGTCGGGATAACGGATATATGGAAAATTACGATGCAGACTTTTGAAACACAATAGATATGATCTTCTTAACGAGATCTTTGTTCAATTTAATCTTTAATGAACAACAAATCTCAAATAGATCTAGATCTAGAATAATAATGTAAAAACGTTTTTACCCTTTCCAGTAAAAAATGTGTCTCACTACCTACGCTACTGCGCGGGATGTGGGACTGGCCGACGGCCGGACCTTTTGCTGTTTACACACTTAATGATGGCAGGACTCTCACTCTCTGCCTGCACATGATGAATTATGGTTCAAGGAAAAGAGAGTGTGTACCGACGTAACAAGACACGAGCACGAGACTAATGCTCTTGCACGACAGTAGAAGGGTTGTAAATTATTCAAAGCAAATGGGCGAGGGCGTTAAATCGTGTTAATTAGTTTAATAATTAAGCAATCCAAGCTCTTTTCTTCAGTTTAATTTTTTTTCTTTTATTCTTTCTTTTTCTTTTTTTCCGTGCTTCTTCTTTCCCCTCATTTTTGAACATTTGGATTTAAGAGCCAAAAAAGAGCCAGAGAGCCAAATGAAATTCTCCAGGCCAGATGGATCCAAAAGAGCCACATTTCTGGGATTTGGCTCCAAACTGACAACCCTGACTGTGACGAAATGACTTCCCTTATCTCTGGAAAATTGTTATACTTGCACTAGCCCCAGAATCGCAGCGTTTCCCCGGAAGTAACCCGCCCCAATTGCATTTTCCATGTTTATGGAATGCTGTAATTTTCCATTGAAAAGGGTCAGGGCCTATGCACTTTATATAGCCTAGGGCCTGCGCGCTTCTCGATCAAAATTGGTGGGCCCTATACCTGGGTAGCCCAGCTCATGCCCAGTAATATAATATAGGGCCTGAGCACTTCCAGGGCTTAAGTTTATAAAACTCACTAAGTTAGGAACTAAGGCAAAAACAACTGTGAAAAAAATCTGTAATTAAAAACAACTCAACAAAGCTTGCCCAGTTATGAACGGTGTTGCTGATCAGGTAGGCACAACCACTCGCACCCTCCCACCTCCACCCTTCCCCCGTCCTTCCACACACCCCCGCAATGACAATACGCGTTTGATGTTTCCAAGTGTGTGACGAAATCCCTGTGAATGTGGGTTGTGACGAGATGACTGTGACGTTTTGACTGCACCAGTGTGACGAAATGACCATGTGACGAGATGACTGGTATTCTTCCCTCCCCGAGTTATTTCTAGTAGCCTCGTCCCTGATCCCTATAGGGTCATTTCCGGTTAAAAGAGGGGTTGAGAATAGCAAGGTGGGTTATTCCCACCCCTGGTGAGAATAACCACTTCCTTCTGTAATATACTTGTTGACAAGCTGACTCAATCTGCGGGTTTGGTTTGGCGATTTTTATTGATTAAAAAAAAATTTTTTTCCTTTGGTCTTGCGACTCATTGTTGTTGGAAATTTAAGTTGTATTTGTGTTAAAGGAGTTTTGTTTTGAAAAATTATCTTCACTAGACATGGTGCCGCACTTTGATGCAGTCTCAACGTCGCTACCAGGAAGAATCAGAGGCTCAGGAGAACAGTGAGGAAGATTTGACTCCCAAGAGGAAAATTGTGGATCCCGAGACAAGTATAAGATATGTCCACAGCCCGGGTAAGCTCAACTCGTACTGTTGTGGGGAGTGGTAGTTATAAAACCCAGATAATTATACGCTGCCAAATTTGAGGGGTTTGGGTAATAATACTCAGATGTTTTGCAGCCCTTCCAAAGAAGGACACAGAAAATAATGGTACAATTAGACAGGTTCGGACTCACAAACGAGGAATCCTCTTGCTTTAATAAAAACTTGATAATGACTGAAGACATCTGAAAATGTAATTATGCACATTTCAATTAAAAGAAACAAACATAGCTTGATAATATACACAGGTCTATTCAGTTATACGTGGATGTGTACAAATCTGGGTTCTCAAAGGGAGAAAAAATCAGAAAAATGTGGAAAAAAAAGGTTTATAATGATGTTTTATTAATAGTAAAGTCGACTTGGTTTTACACGTAATTAATTAACAAATGATTTGTTCTACGTTGTCATTTGAGTTTGGAGGATATGTTCACATCTGTAATTTCTTCATTTTAAGCTCAGTTTGTAAAAGGAAGATGCGTTTGATGTAAAGATCAATCTCTCTTCTCATTAGCTGCCAAATTTGGGGGGGTTTTGGTAATACTCAGATGTTTTGCAACACCTCCAAATAAGGAAGCAGAAAATGATGGTACCATTGGGCAGGTTTTGGACTCACAACTGAGGAGTCCTCTTGCTTTAATAACAACTTGATTGTCATTGCAGACATCTGAACATTTTTTTCTGCAGTAAATGCCCCAATTTTTCCAGTGTGTGATGTGATACATGGGGCTGAAGCTAAGAACAGTTGAGTTCACCATGTTTCCGCACGACTGGCACAAGCATGTGGTATTGCTACATAAAGGTTTTACCGTGTGCCAACAGATTCAGTAAACTCAAATATATAACCTGGAGAAGTGATTGGGGAGTGCTTTTGTTTGATAATGGATAAGTACAACTGTGCATATTTAGCTGATATTGACAGCAAAGATTAAATAACATTTTATTAAACTTAATTAAAAGATCATATCATGTATTACGGGGTGTAAAATGCTCTTTCTGGCTCTTCTGTTTACTTGATACCATTCCAATTCAGTCTGAATGTGCCAATATCAACATGGAACTTTTATTTTTTTCTTCTTTTTCTTTTTCTTTCTTTTTCTTTTTTTTTTGCTCTTTGGGCACAGAATTTGTGAAAGGCTATGGAGACAAACCCGTGTGGTTTCACTACAGGAGAAATTTCAAAGGAAAAATCCCCCCTCCCACAAGGGAAAATTGTATTGTAAGTATGCATAATTTTGAAAATGTATGACTTATTTCTGTTGCAGTCTAGTGGGTTGGATGCTAGATTAATCTTATACATATAGTGGTCTTGAATTCAATTTCTGGCAGAGTCTGGTCTATAATTTTGTCTCGTTAGGAAACATTTAGTCTACATTCTTTTCCTAGGTTTGAGCCAGGCTCCATTATAATTTTATTTTTCCAGGGGGCTGTACTGTTGATTGAAGTCACCCTGTGTTTGTACTTTTTATATTTGACTTAGACCAGAGCTTTGAATGTAAATTATTCCTCTGGAGCAAACCTGTTGATCTTTTCATTGCTGAAAAACAATTTTGAGTTTTGGATTTGAGCAACGTTTGTGGCAAGATTGTTTGAGATTAGATTAGAATGCAGCTTTACTATGGTTGGAGTGAGGTGGTAAATGGTTGAAGACAACATGCATTGGCAGTGATTGGGCTTAATCTCTTTTAAGACCCCTTTACATTTGATTTAGACAAGTAGGTCTTGACACATAACATTGCTTTAGTTCTTATTATGTCCCAGAATATTTTTTTTTTCTCTTTTATCTTTTGTGCGTATATTTTTATTGAAGCTTTTCATGATAGATATTTTTAAAATATTTTATTTGGTCACAGAGACAGGGAGAAATTGCCACTGCCAGCCCCTGTCCTATCTGCAGAGACGAGTACCTTGTCCTGGATGCAAAAGTAGGTCAATTTGTTAAACACACTATGATGTGTTTAATCTATGCTTGATAAGTGTTATATGGCTTTATTTCTCTTGTTTTGTGGGTAGTTGGCGGGTGCTCTGGTGTGGTTTGCTTCTTCTTTCCTATCAAACATGATCTATCGTCCTTATTTCTCCTCCTCCTTTTTTGTGTTTGTTACTCTCTTGTAATACCTGTAATCTTCGACACTTATATGACCTTATTGAGTTGCAAGTGCCGTAAAACTCTTACTTTTACTAAAATTCTCTTGTTTTTGTTTTTCAAGAAATGTTTGTTTATTCGTCTAACCTGTGTTAGCTTTCATTAAGATTGAAGTGAAACTACCCTCCATCTTCCCTTCCTTTGCATGGTTTCCAAAATGTGACAACTGGAATGACTAATGAATGGCCTGTCCAAAATAGTAAATTTTCCTTTTGTTCATGAGACCTTAGAGCACTGGTATTTCTGAAGCTCTGTGGGTGTTTGTCCTCTTGTGTCTGGCTGATTGTCAGAAGCCTTTTAAAACACCAGATTTCTGGGCTGGTAGGTATTTTAGCATATTATTCAATGTCTTGTTGCACTGTTATTCTTGTAAAAAAGTAAATTTAACATATTATCATGGGTCTCAATATTCTGCTATTTAGCAGAATTCCTCTACCGCCATTTCCTCCTCTAAACTCCGCTACCGTGACAGCGGGCCAATCAGAAAGAGAGTTGCTGAGAGCAGAGTGACTGCCAGGTCTCGGGAATTACCCGGGAATTTGAAAAAAAATCGCAGAGACGCCGGAAAATACTTAAAAGATCTCGAATATTATTTGAAAACCAAATCCGATAACTTCTTTAAGTTCATTTTTGCCGGTCGCGATTGTGATATTAATTCGTTTTTTCCCGGTCGGAGAGTACGTTTCACGCGGACAGGCGGCTATGGCGGCAAGCGGAATTGTATGTGATACCGAAGCTCGACCGGAAAATCAAGATCTCAGAAATTTGTCTGTTAAAGTCTGATAACGCAACATTTGTAACATGCAGGTTCTGCATTACAAACTTGCTGTCGCTTGTGGGGGCAAAAAATAAAAAGAAAAGAAAGTTATACAAGCGTCTTGTCGGGCTCGTCATTGTGACTGGTCAATGAATCTGTGCACGTTCTGAGCGCTGTGAAGTACAGGACTCCAGAATGGGGGGAGATTATTGATTTTTAAAAAAAGATACGCTCGGGGATGGGGGAAGGGCTGGACGCAACACGAGAAGACAAAAACAGAAAAGAAATTGGAAGCAAATTTTTAATATTTAGAATTTCGATTACTACTACAGCTCTCTGCAAAGTAAAGTGCGAATTGGTGCTTGCCTTGTGTATAATTGGGATCCGTCATAACTACTTGTAAGCGTGTTAATGAACTTAGGGCAGGGGCCTAAGTGTTCGTGTTTCATTGGATGGGTGACAGTAAATTATGTCTCTAAGATTCGCAGATTTTCAGTGTCACTGCATCTTGCCCTCCCACAGTTCTTACACCTCTCACACTGAATAGGTTTACTTGAGCTATTCAAGTTATTACTAATATTACTCTACTTTGAGTTTGAGCCTTAATCTTGTCTTTCACGTTTATTATATAAATCATTACTCCCAGACTGGTTCATGACAGTCGATATTCTGGTTCTAGGACTTTTCTCAGGCTCCAAACAAGATTCATTTTTATATACATGTAGTTTATATATGCAGGCGAATACGATGAAGGTAAAATATAAATAAGTCGCACAAGACCACAGTGCACCAACACTTTCTGTACGTAATCAAGATTGTAAATATTTGGTAAGTGACTCTTACTTGAAATTATCTTCCGAACCCTCAAACTGGTGTGAAATAACCTTGCTTTGATAAATTGATGGTTTTTATTTCTACATTCTAGGGTCCAACAGTATAATAATAGTGGGTGTCTCGCGAAAATGGGCTTCTGTCGCGGTCACGCGGAAAGTTCCTCCTTTTTAAAAATTCTAAGTTGAGACCCATGATTATGTAGTAATTTCAATTATTTTGACTCCCAAGACTGTGTAAGTGTCAGTGACAGTGTAAACCTTCTCTTTTCAGAACATCAAGCTGCTAGAACAGTTCATCTGTCCTCACTCGGGGGAAATCTTTGACTCGATGAAGACAGGTTTGTGCCAGACCCAGCAGAAAGCTTTGACCGTGTCTGTCATGAGGGCCCAGGACCAAGGTAAAAACTTGGAACGTTGGAGATATTTCGGTCTTTTTTAAAACCCCTTGAATTCTAATAATCTCTTGTATTCTATGTTATGTTTTGGCTCTTTGTTTGAAGGTTAATTACCATTTCATTGAAATACTAAAAATATAGTTTGTTGAATGTAATCATATCCATTCCATATATTTTTTGTCGTGTCTGGATATTGACACAATATATATATATATACAATATAGTACTGTAGTCTCTGCCTAAACGCAAGCCATACGAAGGCACGCTACGCTCAAACGCACGCTTCCGTCATATGATGGTTTTTTTTTTTACTATATATATAATTTAGACGTACAAATGCACGGTCACTTCTTTTAAGCACACACTTCAACACGCGAAACGCTCCGACGGGCAAAGCTTCACAATGGGAAATTTTCACCGAAGTCTAGACAGCCTGCATAAGACATTCCTAGTCGAAACTGACCTTCACGCAGAACTAAGAGAGCGGTGGACAGAGTTTTCACGCCCTACTTTCCACTGACACACATAGATCTAGGTCTAGGACTGGTCGGGTGATATGTTGGGGAGGGGGGGAACTGAAATGTCTTCTGATTGATCACTCAAAATGCGTCTTTGAGAGAAGGTTTCTGATTGGTGTTTGAATGGCAGCATATGTAATGTTTAGTTAGACCTATGATGCGCAACACGTGTGAATGCTGTAAAACACTAGATAGACCTCTTATCAAAGATAAGTAAGTAATCAACCGCGCTCAAAGAACTTATAATGTACTTGTTCAATGAATCAAAAGAGAAAAGTCTGATGTCATCCTATGCATTTATCCAGTTGCAATAGGAGTCGGGATTGATCGCTTGGAATTAGAAAGCTGCGTGGCTGAGAGCTTTTCCCTATGACTAGATCTATCACGGACAGTTTCCTCTTATCAGTTCCCAACCTTTTACGGTGCATATCAGTATAGTGAGTCTGTTTTTCTGCGCCCCTCCCTACCTCCCCCCAACCCATTGTATTCATCAGTGCTTCCACTCTTCTGTATGTTTACGGAAATCCGTACTTTCTGCCAGTTCCGTACTTGTCCCTCCATCATTATCAACTCCCTCCATTAAAAAAACTGCGACAGCGCAGGACTGCCGAAATTCCGTACTCGCCTTCGTATCGTCTTGTATATACGGATATTTACGGTAATTCTCTCGGCAGCAAGTTAAAGTTATAGTAACCTGCCAGATTGCAAATTTCCTGCAATTGGCCATTATTCCGCTATGTCCCGTGCATTCATTGCGGGTTGGTCAGCAGTACATTTTTTACCTGCAGATGGATCAAAATCTGGCAAACCGTTTGTTCCAATTTCCTCCTTTTTATCATTCACTCATTCCTTCTGTCTATCTTTGGATTGTTGCCGCGGCTGGTAAATCTGCGCGTTGATCAAGTAAATTGACTTTTGATCTTAGACAGAAAATTACTGTCAGAAAGAAACTTTTCCCTGCAAATTTGTCTAGATCTGATCTAGAGAAATTATCAATGCGAAGATTTTACGGCACGTGAACGCAATAAGGGCCGCGATGAAAGAAATATACTGATACGGGGGTGCCCACAAGGGATAGGATCGGCCGATCGCGCTGATCGCCGGACTCGGTCGCCTCAAAAACAAACGTGTTTGTTTTCATTTTCAGTTTGTTTCAGGCGATCGAGTCGGGCGATGGGCCCGATCCAGCTGTAGGTAAAATAAAAAATAATTCGAAGTGGTGTTCCGAGGTTGTGACGGGCGACAAACAGACGTGAAAATTGAGAAAAAAAATTGGGTATACGCTGCACAACTGTATTTTGAAGGTACATCTATTTATTATTCCCAGGTTTGCCTGCTATCAATGCTGTGAGGACAAATTAATTGAATTATAGTAGCAATGAAAGGGGAACCTGCTTTTAAACATTGCCAGCAATGAAAAGATATGTTGGGGAAGAAATCAAACAAGACAAAAATGTTGGTGAAAAAATAAATGTTATGGGCTGTCGGAAATCTCTTCAAACAGGCTCCCAAATGCCATTTTCAACCCTCTAACAGCACTAAATTTCAATTTCTAAGGGGGCTTTGCCCCCTGAACCCCCACCTGGACGCTGTCCCTGGACCCTGCTGGGGGGCAGAATTTTCCTTACTTTTCACCTTCGGCTGGTGGAAGCACTGATTCATAATTCATAACCGCAGTTGGGGAATCCTTCACAAAACAGTTGCGTGTCGTCACATAATCGGCCAAAATGACCCATCACCCCCCAGAGGAGGTCACTCTAATATCAAGGAAATGAGAGTATTGCGTCCTTTCCTCCCTTTGCAGAAGTTAATGTAAACGCTCACTTCGTATAAACACACGCTTAGGGGCCTTCCCGAGCAGCGAGCATTTAGGCGGAGACAACTGTCGAAACACACTCACATAACTAACGGATTATCAGGTCCTGAATTTTTCTTTGTATTTCATTAAAACACATACACAGCAAAATGGCAAATTCATACATAACGAACAGACTTCCTTATCTCGCCGATTTTGCTATGTGATTACTAGACTGTAGTACTTTATAGTGTGCTGTATATCGCTACCTTAGAATAACAAAGTTTTATCTCTTGACATTTTTGTCCGTTTTTGAGTGAAATGATGAGGTAAAAAACCGAATGTTCCATCTACTCTATCAAAATCGCAAGTTTATTTGGGGTCGTTATCAAGATATTCAAAGAAATGGGTTCGGAAAAGCTTGATATGTTGTGTAACTCAGAAAATTTTACGCCAAATTTCTCAAAACTAGTTACCGTGTAGAGAGAACTGTGTAATTCTTGAGTGGCAATGTGTCTGTGAGGCTGATATGTGAAGATGACCTTTTGTTATGTGATAGTTTTACTTTATCCGTTTCAGGAAAGGACTTTTTACATTTTATAAATTGTTTTAAAAGACTAGTGTCAGTGTTATGTTTACCTATTCCATGCAGAAAGTTTGAAATGAGAACTGGCTCATTGATTGTGTTAAAATTAGGCTTCTACTCTAGTGCCTTTGAAAATTTGCAACCTTGGTGGTTGAGCCATTAACCAAGTTTTCTAACTATGCAGAATAATTTTTAGTTTTATTAAAACATGATGGGTCATGAAAAGATTTTAAATGCAGGATTTTTAACTTGGAACCACCGTGTATAGAGCCTGTACAAAACTGCTTTTTGTGATAAAATAGCCATTACTAGCTTTTCAACTGTAGTGGTAGGATTGAGGCAAAATCTTTGGTCCGACTCATGGTGTGTCATCCCTTTCCAGGTTTGTTGGAGATGAAGTTGCCATTTCGCACATATGACTACGAGGATTACAAGAGCTGATGAACGGGCTGTCAATTGAGTGTTCTTAGAGTGAATGTCTGAAGAGTTTATTATTTCATTTAGCTTATATGTGATTTCATCATTTAATAAATGTCCTTGTTGAAAAAAAAATGTTGTTGCTTTTTTCAACTTGAGAAAATTGTATTTTTACTAATAATTTTTTAGTTATGGAGGACAAACTGACATGATTGTGAAACACAGTTTTTTAGGGTAAGTGGCGTTCAAAAACAAATTTCAGAAACTAAGAAAATATCTGGAACATTCACAAAGTTTATTTCAAAAGGATAAACACTGGGGAAAAAAAACAACTTACACCATCAAAATAATATATACATGTCCAGGGCAGCAACTGCTAAGCCAGAGGAATGGAAATCTGAAGCTCGATGTCCTCACGAAAAATATTATTTTAAAATGGCACCTTCTTCATCAGCGAGCCCTTCACATTGCAACCATAGGCTTGTCAAACCCAGAACAAATTCGCCAACACAGATTTCAAGTGAAAAGGTCAAATGTGAATATTGACAAATTCCATTTCATTAGTTGATAACATGAAGACAGGTTAAATTACACATACTGAGGTCTTTGGTTTCAAATGCAAATGATAATGCTAGCTAGCAACAACTGTGCATGATGAACACTAGATAAGCAGTAAAAATCCATGACTTGTCATCAAAAACCATTCACGACACACTGAGATATGGTGTGTAACCCTACACAAAACAAGGCTTCTGATGGAAATGGAATTTGAAAGTTGTCCCCCTAAAAGTCGCCTTCGATGCAATTCTGAATCAACATTTCTTAGAACATTTAGTAGATAGGAAAAGCATTTGAATCTAAAACTTAATAATCAGCTCTTCAAGTTCATCCCTGCGACTTCATTTTCTGTAAATTTCATCTTGAGAACCTGCACGAAATTTACTCTGGTGGTAAAAATTTTCAGCCATAAGCTATGACTAGGATACAAAAGAAAGAAGAGAACTGGATATTCACTATTGTTAAGAAATGTCACTATTTAGATACACTTGACAAACTAGCTTATACCATCTAAGTTGCCTTCATCATGCAGAGTTGTAAAAAAACGAATGCATCTGTGTAAAGTAGAATGATAAAATTAAAATCACATGAGATCTGCATGCAGAGCGGAAGTGGTTCATTTGGGAGGAAAAATTTCACAAACATAACCATGCCCACCCAAAATATGAGCACACAGGGTGTGGAATAGAATCATTCAGTTTCAAAACTGACCATCAAAGGCAGCCAGTGGAACTCTTCAATGGAAAAAGAAAATAATTACAAAAAGTTAAAAAAGCAGCAGGACCCTAACTTTACAGATATTTTTGTTTGTTACAGTGGAAATGATATATAACAGGCCCGGTAATAACAGGGATTTTTTAAATCCCCGATTTTTCCTACTCTTTGTCTCTATTAAAATTTATCGGCAATAACAGGGCCTCATCGGAGCCCAACCAGTTATAGCAGGGACAAATGCTCATTAACAATGTGTAAAGAGAGAGAGAGAGAGAGGGAGGGAGGGAGAGAGAGAGAGAGAGAGAGAGAGAGACGCAGTGATGGATATGAAGCAAGAGAGGGCTGCGGTGTGCTGCAGACGCCGATCTAGCCCGAAACCTAGCAAGACGCACGCGTAATGTGTCACCAACGGTGTCAAGCGCAAGAGAAAATGCCTTTCCAATTGACAAAAAATACGATATAATCCAGGCTGTTGACAAAAAACAAGCTCCACTGGCCGAGATTTGTCGTCAGTTCGACTATCCACAAGGGTCGATTCACACCATTATCAAGGATGGAGAGAAGATAGTGGCAGCATACTGCAATGGAAAGTTTGCTCTGGATCGAAAGAAGATCAGACTACCCGATGTAGATGCTGTGGACCAAGTTCTTCTGATTTGGTTTAAGGAGGCAAGGAGAAAGTTGGTGCCAAAACCTCTGTTCGTGGGTACTTGTTGCAAAGGAAACTACCCATGAATAAGTACAGCTGGATTAGTCCACAAATGCTTCCTTTCCTTGCATTTCTGATTTAACAGGGATTGGATATAACAGGACATTTTCTCTACTCCCACCATCCCTGTTATATCAGGTTTCCACTGTATTTGTTGAAGAACTGCACTGTTTCAACAAACAGTGAATTTTGTTGTAATTGTCGTTGTTCTGTGTGTTGATCGTAGAAAATTTCAACATGTTTTTAAAAAATATGGACACACAATTTACAATGCACACCGCATTTTTGTCATTAAGGGAAACCATACCTGTCTGCCTTTTTAAAACCACAACTGAGGGGGGGAAATCCAATATATGACCTGTTTTTGTTACCTTGTCTCAGAGTCTACATTCTGTACGGTACTTTTAATTTTAGAACTGGAAGAAAAAGGCTTCTCTCAATGAATCTCTGGAGTGGGAGATAGAAACTGCATGTTTAACAGTGACCAACGACCTACTCGACGCAATACAGTTTATTTTGAGGGTGGAGTGTTTAGTTCACTGTCCAATACATGGCTGAAAAGATAAAAATTTGCGGGATGAATGAGAAAAATTTTAATCCTGTCTCTGGATTTGAACCCTGAATTTCCACACACTGGTCCAGTTCAATTTACACAGTAACCGACTATAATTAAGGGAATAAAAGCCCCAAGGGTCTTGGCTTGAATCAATAGTACAAAGTCTTTGCTATTACATGGCAAAATTATTTTCATCCTAACACATAAGGCTGACTGCAAGGGATCACAGGACGGTAAGAAAATATTACACAGAAAAGAAAAGAATGGAAAATATACTGAAATTTCTGCACTGTACATTTTTTTCCCCTCCAGAAATGGTTATTGACTCGTTGAGAAAAAAAAAATCTATGCATGTGTATAAAGTCTTCTCGGCAAAAACACTATAAAAGATATTTGCAAAAGGGAAGTATGCGTATGAAGCTTTGATCACAGAAGTGTACTGTGCCTCTAACTGTACACTTAGAATTATTTGATTTCTTCTCATGCTCTCGAGGCCAGTCCAAAGTGAGGAGCTGATTGCAGAAAAAAAAGCTAGTAAAATTGCTCCTCCCAAAAAGTCAAACTTAAACATAAATGCTGAATAATTTTCAATCAGTAGGTCTGCATGTATTTAAAGGAACTTGACCTTTCTAACTCAATTTTTAATTCATTTTCATTATATGTCAGGCGGCGTGGTGGAATCAGGCTCTCGTCAATTTTTGGGCAGGTGGAGTTATTGGTATCATCTGAAAGCTTGTTCACTTGTCTTTATTTGGTTGAAAAAAATATCCATTTATCTTGAATACAAGTCGAGATATTTGTGAATGAAGGAGGTGGGGGTCGCCTGTTTTCAGAGGTAAAATTAGTGAGAAAATGGCCGCCAAAGATTAGTTATTTCCTTAGCTTAAGAGTCCGTGGTAACCAAAAATTTCCATTTTTTGTGCCTTTAACCAACGTTTTTCAGAAAAACCCACACAGAAATGAGTTCTTTAATGGGCATGAAAGGTGTAGAGCCAAAAAACTAAAATTTGATAAAAATCCGCAAACCTGCAGAAAAATAGGGCCTACAAGTTTCTTCACTTTGATTATTTTGATGAGAGCCTGATTCCACCACGTTGCCTCACATATATATATTTTTATATATATGCCAATTTTGACTAGGTTTTCTGGCGATTCCCCAAATTTCATAGCATTATATAATTATAAAAGTAACTTTCAGAAGTAAAGTCTATACATGATCTCAAAACTCTGAAAAACATGAGTGTTCAGTTTGTCAGTGCACAGTAAAGTAAGCATCTTTCTCATGTTCTCATGGAATGACAATTGAAAAACAAACATAAGAAGAAAGTTTCAACAAGCCCTTCTTGCTTCATGGGAAAAAAATAGGACTTGTAGCAGGAAGAGCTACACAACTGCTCTGTTCTTGTAGAGCCAAGAAAAGGGTTAAACTGTACAGTAATTTTAATATAAAACTGTGCTGAAGCTCAAAATGGGATCTGCTGAGGATCATAGGAGGAACATGCTTTCCAAGGTGGTTACAACTTTTAAAGCAAAATACTGGCATTCTTACACCACATAAAGCACAAAAGAGAAAAGTTTATATAGTAATATAGTGAAGCTTACATGAAATGTGAGGCAGGGTGATGAAATCAGGCCCTCGTCAATATAATCAAAGTGAAGAAACTGGCCTTTTTTCGCAGGTTCATACATTTTTATAGGATTTTCGTTTTTTGTTTCAACACCTTACATGCCCATTAAAGAACATATTTCTGGGTGGATTTTACTTATAAATGATTAAAGGCACAAAAAATGCAAATTTTCAGTTTCCACAGACTTTCAAGCTATGGAAATAACTCATTTCTGGTGGCCATTTTCTCACTAATTTTACCTCTGAAACTAGGTGACCCCCACCTCCTGCATTCGCAAATATCTTGACTTCTATTCAAGGTAAATGGATATTTTTTTCATCTAAAGCAAGACAAAAGAAAAATCTTTAAAGATAATACCAATAACTCTACATGCCCAAAAATTGACAAGCGCCTCACTCCACCACGCCGTGACACAAATGGTTAATTGTAAAGTACACAGAGCTTGAATTCAAGCAGAGATAGATGCTATGTAAATCAAATACAGTACATCTACTATTGTGACTTTTATCACTTCTTTTGAAATGGCGTGTCTCGCTGATTCACAGGATCTACTTTAATTCTAGCAAGCATAGAGTAGCAGGCTGCCCTTATCGCACCACCTACTTCTTTTCAGAGCTGTCATGATCCTAATCTGTCCTTCGAGAATGACATGTGTACATGAACAGTGCTTCTGTGGTACACATACATTTATGTGACTGAGTTGTTTTTTAAAGCAGTCTGAGAGTTTGGGTTTTAGTTTAGTTTAGTAAGAGTTTCACGGTGCTCACAACACAATTAAGTCATATAAGAGCAAAAGATCAAAGGTGTTACTCCTAAAGAGTAACAACATACAAAGAAAAGGAGGAGGAGAGATAAGGATGATAGATGTTAGATAGGAAAGAAGGAGCAAACCACACCAGAGTACCCACCAACCACCAATGTATTGTTGCTAGCTCTGACAAAACTCGTCGCAAGGCATAGAAGACCCAGCAGAGAGCACTGGCTGTGTCCGCCGCGAGTGTCTTCAACCAAGGAAAATGGCTATCACCACACTCAAGAGTCCCCCAACTATTGGGTAGTGAGCACACTTTCCTTTTTAGTTTAGGTAAAAGTTTTATGGCACTTGCAACACAATAAGGTAGTAAAAGTGTTGAAGATTAGAGGTGATATAAGAGGGTAACAAACACAAAAAAAGGAGAGAAAAGGACTGTACCGTATAGATCATGTTTGATAGGAGAGATAGAGCAAACCATACCAGAGCACCTGCCAGCCACCCATGAGGACATTCACCACTCAGGTATATCTCAAGCTACAGCTACGGCTAGAGAGGTGAGAAATCTGACTGCTCTAGAACGATGAAAAACACAGAGAGAGACAAATCTTTCCTTTTCATTTTATATAAACAGCAAAGCTAGCAAAGATTGAACAAACAACATTCAAAAAGCTGAATTGTTTGTAACACAGGAAAATCTCTATACAATGCTTCACACAAAATTTCTACATTAATCTTTCTGATTTTTTAAATTGGTTACATTACAAGTGCAACATGTAATTTCTGCTCTGGAATCACACCATTGATTGATCTGTCATAGTATAGAGATGAAAAGCACAAAAAAGACACCAGAGTTCACGACAGTGAAATTGCACATACTTTTCACTCATATTCACCCAGTTCTTTTCAAACAAGTAAGTCTACGACAAAATCATCATTATGAATATAAATACGATAGCGCAATCATTGCCCAAAAAAAATTCACACACCCATGGTGAGTCAATTTGGAGACACCATTATCACAGAATTTTTTCAGATTACTGAAAAGGTAAGCAAAGACAATAATGCCAGTTCATGACATCATCAATGGACCAAAAAAAAAAAAATTAAATTAAGGTCACAATCTATATATGGCCATTTTCTAATAATACTTCTGTCTGTACAAAATGTTATGCACTGTCATTGCAGGGAGCAAACTTCTCTCACGGTGTCAAAATCTTATCTTGTGCTCATTTTCAATTTCTGTAAATCTGACGAAAAAGTCAGATCACATTTCCCTGATAATTAATTTTATCTTTCAGGGATCCAACAACGCTGAGATCACATTACTGGTACAGGCTAACATTCAAAGTTTTACCCCTGACTAAGTGTAACTGTTTTAAACCTCTATTGACACAATTTAGAAGATCATTCAGGAGGTGGAGTGCCTTGACCCAGCCTGTCTGGGCCAACCCAGGCTGAGTGGGATACAGCACACAGCAGACTGAGTTACTCCATAACATCACATCCTACTTTAGGAAATGAACTCACACCTTCTTCGAACAGTGAAGAGGTTTTTAACCATTACACCGCAGATGCTGTAATTTACTTTTAGAGGCTTGAAAATGTTCTGGAAAAGAGCGCAAGATATGGAACCATCTACAAAAGCAGAGGAAGCAACTATAGTCTCTCAATGTACGGTAGCTGATCGACACTCTCTGCAGCTATTAGGATGGTTTAGTAGAGGCTTTACGCCGCTCGCAACTGCATAAGGTCATATGAGCACCAAGGGGTGGATGTCAACAGAAAAGTCCTTATAGGGAATCAGACTTACTCTGCTCACCTCTCTAGTTTCAACAGCACAAAGTCTGCTTTGACTATCAAGGCACCCCGGAAATAGCGGGTCACAAGAGTGTGTATTAGGTTGGTATTGGTAAGGCAGCAACATGTATTCAACTTCAACATGATTGTGAACGTTTCAAACCCTGACATAACCCATGTCCAAGTCATTTACTAGGTGGTCAGGGCCAACCTGCACTGACTTGATACACTGCACCCCAGCAGAAAGACAAAAGATCTAAAAAAAAAATGTCTTCCCTATCTGGAAAAAAATGTCTTCCCTATCTGGAATTGAACCCAATGATGATCATTTGCATGCAAGACAAAGAGCTGAACTATTACACTCAACAAATACTGGCCTATGTACACTGCTCCTGGAATGATACAAAAATTACAAATACACAATTACTACAGTGAATGCTACATAGTCTGGCACAGATAACACGAACACAGAAAACTTGAAAACGGATTGCTAGCTAACCCGAATTATTGATGTGTCAAATTCATTTGTCAATCCCCAACATGTCTGTTGAGTTATCCATGCTCTACTGACATGTGAGTAGACTACCTTGTCCTAGATTCTACAGTCTGTACTTTCAAAGTTTTTAGATTTAGTAAGTATTTTACGGCACTTGTAACACAATAAGGTCATATAAGTGCCAAAGATTAGAGGTGTTACAAGAGAGTAACAAACACAAAAATGAAAATGGGGAGATAAGGATGATAGAGGTTTGATAGGAAAGAAGAAGCAAACCACACCAGAGCACCTGCCAACCATCCACGTACTTTGAAAATTGAAAGAAAAAGGTTGCCCTCAATGAACTATTAAAAATTTACTAGGGGTGTGAGATAGCAACGGCTTGTTCAACAGTGACCCAACAACCTAGGACAGGTTGAAGTTGGGTGAAGCCTTTTGAAAGACTGAAAATACAGACAGAGGGAGAAAAATGGTTGCCCAATCATCCTTGGTGCCCCAACGGTCATCTCAGAATTAGGGATAAGTAAGTAATAAGGAAACAATCTACTAATCTGCTCACAACTTCTTGGACAAAAGCTGGTACACAAATAGCAAGCCCATAGAGGAAGTTACATCGGAACGATCGTTCAACTCTTTACTCTTGACATTACAGACCAGACCCTTTGCAAGTGAACTGTGAATAGTACACTAATTCCCATCACTGCCGATGTTCGAAAGAGAGGCAAGACAAAAAATGAGGGTTATATCCTTCACGCGTCTCAAACAGCTTAAGAGAAAAGGAAAAAGTTCTATTCAAATACAGTGGAGTCCACTTATAACGAGTCCTGGAATAACGAAGGTCTGTTATAAAGACACTATTCTAAAACCCCGTTTTCCCCCCTCCTTTATCTTTGTAAATAAAATACTGCTATTGCGCTATCAGACAGTCACGCGAGTCGGTTGTAACGGTATATAATTGCTACTGCTGTGCACAGAGCACAGACCAATTAAACATAATATAAGACCTCACCAGTTGGTGATCCAGCGAAACAAGGAATGGAGGAGTCCATGCGAACCAGCAATGAAGGTCGAAGCGAATGAGTGGGGAGGGTGTGGCAAGCGCAGACAAGCAGAACGCATCGCGTGATAAGCCAGCCTAGTCTAGATTATCTAGGCCTACCATGCCTCTCACTTCTCTGGTGCGGAATGGAGAGGTCACAATGCTTTGATAGATGGGAGTGAATGTGTGACGTGCGCAAGCGGACGCAACACACCACAGGGTGTGGTGGGGTGGGGGACGACACAGCGGGCGAGTTAGCCCGGAGCCAGAGCCCCTTCTATCTGAGCGCCAACGCCGAACTGTCAACATTGCTAGTGCTAGAAAAAGAAACCTGATTTGATTTTTGATCAAGTAAGACTTAGAGATAATGTTGAACAAAATCGTCATCAGGAGAAATACAAAAAGGAATAAACAGAACCCCAAACTCATAGATTAGACCTACTTTACTATTTCCCTTGAATTTATTACTGGATCCCTTACAACGAGAATCCTGCTATAACGGACATTTCGCACCGGTCCCCTCCCTCTCGTTATAACAGGATTCCACTGTATAATTTCAGAGGGAGGGAGAGGGTGTGAGAGAGAGAGAGGGTTTGAGAGAGAGAGAGACAGAGAGAGAGAGAGAGAGAGACAGACAGACAAAGAGAAAGAAAGAGAAAACAGACAGCTAAAAAAATGAATTCCAGAACTTCAATCATGGATGGAATCAAAGACAAAAAAAATTCCTGCAAAAACAAACAGGACACAAACATATTATTTTCTGCTGTGAAGAAACCGGTAACAGACGACATTACATTTTTTTCTGGCTTTTCCTTCTCTAGGCTGAGGAAAACAGCAGGGATGATACACATCAAAAACTTAAATAAATAAACTCCTCTTACATAACACCCTTACCCCCAGCTCCCAAATGCCCAAGTTTCTCAGAGACAATAGAAAAAGGTGTAAATAATAATTAATCAGTTTGGACCCGATAGTAAGACTTCGAATTTTACCACAGAGCCTAATAATAGGCGGGGAGGAGTCTCGAAGACTTCTCACAACAACACAAAGCTCCAGAATGCAAATATGAGGATTTGAACCAAGGTCATTCACACCACAACCCAGCACAAAATGCTGTGTGTGGATGGACTTTAAAGAAAAAAATCAAGTTTTTGAAAAGGAATAATATGTACCACAATATATACAGGGACCTCCATTAATTAATACTGTCATCACAAGGTGGGTCAAAGGTCATACAAGTTTACAAGTGTACATGACCAGCAAAGTCAGTCAGCAACATGGGTGTGATCGGACCTTATAGATTAGGTAGTCCAACCAGCAACTAATCTAACCATCTCACACCTATTTCAGTGCCTAAAAAACTCCCAGTACCCTTCCCAGTGACCTAACCACCCTTATTTTTCCATTAAATGAAATATATATTTCATTAGCACTCGACACTCCAACACACTTTAAAGCCTAGCCCCTTTAAAAACCTGTAAGCTTCCACCTCCTCAAATGACCCCTGTTTCTTATGTGAGGGTTGATTGCTGGCTGGGCCACCTAATCCTTGAGGTCTGATAGCACCCCCCACCCCTTCAATCTCCTTCTGATCAGTATCTGAACAAGCCAAATATGTACACAGCATCATCATTAACCATTTTACCACAAGCACACACCAGCTATTGCACAGAGTAAGTACAGGTATGATACAATATGACAAATGTTGTACATGATTATTATTATTTTTTTTACATTTCAGCTTTGAAAAAAAAAGCAGAAGTTTCAAAACATCTTTCATTTGTTACCCTCTTTGCTGTCACTTCCTAAAGTCACAAGCTTGACGTTCTGATTACAAAAGAGTAAATTACGTGTACTATACTGTAGGCTCTGGAAACAAAACAGCACTTTCAGAGCAAGGCTACACACAAATTGATGACGACCTACATAAGATCAGAGACTGTTTCATATGATGAGTTACTTACTTGAGATACAAAAAACAACACCGCCAATAGAGATAAGAACTATTTTTAGAGAGTGATGTGCTAATATAGTGTAAAGCGCATAGAGCTTGCTTTCGTGTGGGGACATGCACCACACAAATGCTATTGATTATTTATTGTTATTATTACTTTTGCTTTAAAAAAAGCAAGTGTTTTAGGTCCCCATCAACACCATTTAGATCATTTAGGAGCCAGGCTTCCACCCTTACTGTCAGGGCCAACCTGATCTGAGAGGGATATATACATCCCAGTCGAAAGACCGAGATACTCTATAAAAACTCTCACTATACTCAAACTCAGGTCCTCTCCACATGACGGCAAAAAGCCTAACTAACCACTACACCACAGACGCCAGTTTAGTTTAGTTTTAGTAGAGTTTTTACGGCGCTCGCAACTGCATATGGTCATATGAGCGCCAGTTTGACACACTTTGAAATACAATCATTGACAAGAAGTAAAGTCTGGCAGTTTCAGCACATGGTACTTGTCCTCCACTCATCCACACACCATAGCACACAATACAAGGCCTTGTTCAGCTCATATATGAACAATAGCTTTAATACTGAAGATTCCCCTCTCTTCGGAAAGCAATCATAAGCAATGTCAATACTATGAACGAGCGAAATACACACAATACATCTTTCTTTGTCACTCCACCATTTTAAAAAAACACAAAAAATCAAGCATATAATATCGTGTTTGGCAGAAACATGTTAAAAATAGTAAAGCACATTAATTATTAACATAACATGACCTTGCCAAAAATAAGTACATGAAATCTTTCACATATGACAAATGTCCGTCCCTCGGCACTTAAGAAAAACTGTAATAATCAAGTCCATGCAGTCTGCATATTATAATCATATATGCATGTATATATATAGGTAAACATACACAACAGACTACAATTCCTGGAGCACCACAATCAAAAGTCTGACAAGCAAGACAAATTATCAAATTACCATCACCCCCCCCCCCCTGAATTACTTCCACTTAAATGCAAGGACATGATTTAGCAAAGCAATGGGACACACCTTTCTTCATACACTTTCTTTGTCTTTGTTTCAAAAGGAAGCAAACAATCTGATGTTGACATTCTTTCCTGATTTAGGTAGGGCAGTTCATATCATTCCATACTATCTGAGATCACAGGGTAGTGTGCCACGGCTTTCACAACACACAGTACAAACTGTTTATGGTTGAAAGCACATATAGCTATATAATGCAGCTATCACCATCATTATTATTATTATTATCATTATCATTATTATGTATACAGGTATTTTTCCAACCAGACTGTTCAGTCTTTGAGGCAGCAATGAGCCGTTTTCCTAGGTATTCTTACTTACTTTGATCTAGACCCTTTTGGCTGGGATTAACTGATAATTTTGCCTGCACACCAGCCTGAAAGGGTCTGCTCTTCTTCCGAGTTCCTACAAGACACCTTCAACACGTGCAACAAGCACATGGAACTTTCAGAATTTTCATTTTCATCCAAAAGCACAAGGGACCCAATCCCACATACCAAAGGTGCACGGCTGTGAAAGACCACATATAAAAAACCCACAGATATCAACTGACCAAGTTACACAAACCCTGAATCAAACTAGGAACTCTTGCACGAAAGGCATGAGTGTTACCTTTAGATTAATTAACCCCTGGAATGCGAGATCGCATAAAACAGCAAAGTAAATAACCCTACAACTCACACTCACATTCTTTACCACAAAGTTTTGGTTCTTGTGTTTTATTCACACACACACAAGCACGCACTCACACACACACACACACACATATATGTGTGCTAGTCAATCCAATCAGATATATTCTACAAATGCGAGACCATCATCAAACTATTGACTAGTCACCTTTTGGCCAGCAGCCGCTGTCCCCTGTGGCCAGACTTTGTGTGGAGATAGACTGCATGCTGGCATCACTGTCCACTCGGTAAGACGACCGACTGGCCGCCCCGGAATCGGTGGCGAGATCTAGCTCCGCACTACCCCGCGTGGAAATGGACGAAAGACGAGAAGGCGGCTTCCTTCCTAAAGAGGCTTCCGTGAAAGTCGAGCCAATGACAGAAACCTCGTCTTTGGCGACGACAATGCTGGTCCCACCACCTTTCTTTGTTCCCGCAGAATCTTCCTCTTTTCCAACCGCCAACTTTTTACCGCCCGCATGCGACAGGTGGTCGGACAACGTTCCTTGTCTGCTACCGTCACCTTCGTGTGGTGTAGCCATGCTAAGGGAATCCCCCTGGTCTCCGATGGGTTTGTTAACGGGCGTGAGTGTGGCAGACGACGTGCCGCCGCCATCTTTGTTCGCCTGTGGGATGGCGACGTGTTGCCGCATACGGCGATGTTTATCTTGGTCCAGCTGGCAGGTGAGCTCCATGAGGCGTGACTCCAGCTCCTGGTTGATGTGCACCATGCTCTGACAACGTTCCTCTACAGCCTGGACAGACAGAGAGGGAGAGAGGAAAAAGTTCTAGTTTAGTTTTAGTAGAGGTTTTACGGCGCTCGCAACTGCATAAGGTCATATGAGCGCCAGGAGATTAGAGGTTTTACAAGAGAGTAACAAACATAAAAAAGAAGAAGGGAGATACGGACGATAGATGTTTGACAGGAAAGAAGAAGCAAAACACACCAGAGCACCCGCCAAACACCCACAGAGAGGAAAAACAAGTACACCACTGGTCCATGAAGGTCGTGAAAATGTTATAGGCTGCATGGATGTAGTTGCTTTGTGAAAAGATTATGTACCCTATGTTTGTAGTGTCTCTTTGTAAAGTTGTTATTGTCATAGTTTTTCCGGTTCTACATGTTTCAGACTGATAGGGTTCAAACCGAATCTCTGAAAGCAATTGAATAAAGCCTAATTCATAAATTAGCAATTCCGAACTTCTTGAAACTATTATTCTATTAGAATTCATCTGACATTTCAATGACCTTAGTAAGGGCTGGGTGGTCATCAATCCCTACGGACCTGAGAAAATGCCCTTACATACTAAACATGTACCCTTCTGAAAATCAACACACAATTTGGAGGGGGTAATGTAAATCTAGAAGTCATGACCAGGAAGCTCAAATACACAGGTCCTGTATGTTTGGTTTTTTTCTTTTTAATTTTTCTTTGGAGGGGGGGGGGGGGGTGGTGGGGTTTAAAAGGGATAAAAACTAGGACCAAATTTAATATCCAAACTACTCCCATAACAACCCATACGTAAAACCAGCCACATTTTGTTTGGAACAGAATAGGACAATTATAACACTGACAAGAGGAAGAAAGAACAGAAGGCACCAGAACACACATCAACACCCATCATGTAACTAGCACAAGATCTTTAACATCTTAAATGAGTTGCCTACCTTGAGTTGCTCTTCATGACTAGACTTGGCAGCTTCAAAGTTCTTCTTCACTGACACCATTGCAATATCCTGAGGGAAGAGAGGGATGACTATTGCCAAAAACAGACTACACGGCTCACTGTAGTTCTATTTTAAAAAATACAGTACAGTGTTCTTTAGTTTTAGTAAAAGTCTTACGGCACTTGCAACACATTAAGGTCATATAAGTGCCGAAGATTAGAGGTGTTACAAGAGAGTAACAAACACAAAAAAGAAGGAGGAGAGATAAGGACCACAGATGTTTCATAGGAAAGAAGGAGTAAACCACACCAGAGCACCCGCCAACCACCCACGTACAGTGTTCAATATAAAACCTTTTCTGTTTCGAAAACTTGACTCTGTGGTAATTAAGTTATAGCATAAACTAAGCGTTTTAACATAGTCTTGTTGGAAATCGAACACACAACTTTATGGCTATGAGTTCTGCAGTTTTATCACCAAAATAGTCTTAGTTTTAGTAAGAGTTTTTGGGCACTTGCAACACAAATAGGTCATATAACTGCCGACGATAGATGTTTGATAGGAAAGAAAGTGCAAACCACACCAGAGCACCTGTCAACCACCCACTGAAGTAGTCTACTTGTCAACAGTCATGAGTGTCTAACTGGTTCACTCGATGACCGCTTGCTATCTAAGAACAAAGGAGTACTCACTAGTTATCTTACTTGTGGCAGTCAAGCATACGATGAACAAAGAATTTGTGCTCATGCTTGTGAGTAAACTATGGGAGAAAACGCTCTCAACTACAATCATACAAATCGTACTTTCATTATTTGGCAATCTGTCTCTGGGAATCATTTCGATAAAACTGTCACATATATTTCACTTACTCTGACGTAAAGTTAAAAATACCATTCTTTTATATCCTACCCCCCCCCCCCCCGAAGGACACAGAGTTTCCGAGTAAGGTTTTTTTTGTTTTTTTAAAAGAAATAAATATGATGTATTACTTAATTCCAATAGTTAATTAATTTCCTCAGATTTAATGAGTAACAATTATGACTCGGCTAGTGCTTATGCCCCCAACCAACCTCCACACACACACACATATACATGTACACATACACACACACACACACATACACACTCTCAACACACTTTCCTTGTAATTTACACAAAACAAAGCCCATGAGGAGACGTCCATTGCCCCTACCTTTGCCTTGAGCTGTTCCTCCAGCTCTATGTTGCGTGTCTGGTACGCCTCCAGCAGGGAGCTCTTCTTCTTGTTCTCCTTCCGCAACTCTGAACAAAATAAAACAAAATTGTTTCATTTACAATGTTCCGTTTCTATAACAAAACAAGACTTTCCCTTCTTTGTTCACAAGCTAACCTTCAGTTTTAGCGTGCTTTTCACAGTAAAGAATCTGTTTTGAGCGAGTTTGAATCTTTAAAACCCCCCCAAAAAACCCAATATGACTGCCATGTACAGGGTATGATGTAATGATGAACAAAAGTACCATTTCCATCTCCTTAAACTTAGTTTTTTGTTCTGTGCCTATCAACAAAGCTATTCACATATAATTTAAACTTTTTTTTTTTGCACGAAACTCCTTGAGTTTGATAGTTAATGAGTGTTTATTGAAGAATTACATGAATTAAAAATTGTACATAAGTTGGTTTTGTTTTAAGTATAGATTCTTATCAGTTTTTAGTTTTAGTAGGAGTTTTACGGCACTTGTAAAACACAATAAGGTCATATAAGAGCCGAAGATTAGAGGTGTTACAAGAGAGTAACAAACACAAAAAAGAAGGAGGGGAGATAGAGACGACAGATTTTTTATAGGAAAGAAGGAGCAAACCACACCAGAGCACCCGCAAACGACCCACAGATTCTTATCAATTAAAAAATGCATCATAATACAATAGGATATTAATTTTTCTATTGTCTCACAAATTGAAGGCTGGATCGATACCAACAACAACAACAACAACCTGGATCGATAACAACACCAATTAATGTGAACTGATTGTGAGTAATTATGCTGACATGGGAAGCCTTTTTATAAAGCACGATAGCAGTGCTATTTTTTTTCCATAGTAGGCTTGGGAGTCAGGGATAAACAAAAAAATAAAGAGGGGGGGGGGAGTATTGGGGTGTCGGGACTCAAAGAGTTAAATGACTTTTCAGTCTTCACAAAGAGTGTATCAAGCCTTGTTTTAGTATAGGTTTTACGGCTCTCACAACTGCATAAGGTCACATGAGCGCCAGAAGATTAGAGAGTAACAAACATTAAAAAAGAAGGAGGGGAGATAAGGATGATAGATGTTTGATAGGAAAGAAGAAGCCTGTCCACGACAACACCCCTCCCTGCTACTGTCTAGCAGGCCGCTCACCCGCTATGTCTGCCTTGAGCGAGGCGGTGAGACAGGAGTGCTCCCCCTTGTGGAGCGAGGCAGCGCTGTGTTGGTGCAGCTTCTCCTGGCACTTCTGGTGCAGCTCCTGCATGAGCAGCACCTCTTTCTGCAGCTGGAACACCTGCACACGTGACGTAAATTTATTTTTACTCTAGGATATACATAAACTCTTTGACAAATAATCTTTAACAATCCTGTATCTTTGGTAACAGCCCTTCTTCCTCAACTTCATATAGAGGTGTATACAATCTTTTTACAGTGGATCCTGTCCTGTAGTGCTGGATGGCTAGGTTCCCGATCATTGAAAGCTAGGAATCGTAGGAATCGACTTCGAACTCAATTACTTACTTTCTAATAGAGTGATTTTTTCCGGTGGTTACTTGGTTGGCTCCAAACATCTTAAGGATTCAGGATAACCTTTATTTCGGAACACCACGAAGTATCAACTTTGATCTTTTCAAAATAGTTTTTTTTGGAAAAAGAAGATGATTTTAATGATTGAATGGACTGGTAACCATTGGTTTACGTAAAAAGGAGTCGGAATTTTCTTTCGTAGCATTAATCTTGGAATCAGTTCCGGAATCGATTCTTCGCCCAGCTTTATTGTCCAGGACAACCAGCCAATCACAGAGGACATGGTACAGAACAATACAGAAACTTTTACAACGCAATCAACAATTCTTGAGAAGTGTCAGCACAGACAATAAACCATCTTTTACAGTCAAACCTGTCAAAG